ACACATCAGTCGCCTACCCTTTTCAACTCGTCAAAGACGTCATTCACGTCATATTCATCAATCCAATTACCGGACCAGACGCCCACTACACATTTCTTATTACTTGATTGGTGGGTTGATGACGTCACAGTGAAAGGGAGGTCATTGGACAGTGGTCAACGAAATATTTTTTTTTCCCTTAGAGTACAAGTAGAACAGAGGCGTAACTCGGATTTAAGGTTACCTAAACGACCTGCCCCCCCCCCCCTCACCCCCATTCCGCGGGGTCTGGCGGTATGGTAGCTTGAACCTTGAGTAGAAATAACCCGTCCCCTAATCCCCTATTTCCAAATGTAAAAAATATAAGTTTACATTAATTATCCTCACCTAATGTTTTGCAGCTATAGAGCTATCACTGGTCCCAACAGTAACTACGTATAACTATACACACATACATACACACACACACACACACACAAACACACACACATATATATATATATATATATATATATATATATATATATATATATAATTTTTTAAATTAATTAATTAATTAATTTAAATCCTCAAATCGTGGTAGAGGTGATTGGTGTCTGAACTCATTAGATCACGTGTTAAGGTCAAGCTGACCTAATCACTGTATTAACTTACTGTAGACCACTCACATTGTTGGATATGGTTAATAAGTAATTAACCTCATCAGGCTTAACGTTGTGGGGTATTGGGATTATCTTCACACAGGTATACGACTGCGGCTTTAGAAACTTGTATAAAGTGGTTTTAGGCCGCTTGTTAGCCAATAACATCCATTAGATGTGTTTGATCGTGTTGAGTTAGGATTAGAGTTAAGGCTATACTTTTTATGGGGATAGGCTAGTAACTAATAGGTAATACTTAACAGCCAATAGCTGAACCACTCTTGTATACTTCGGAACACCACGACATTGTATGAACAATTATGTTATATAATCTAAACACGTGCTTGAACATATTTCACAAATATATTCAATATTCCACAATAGGCTTTTGTTAGTCTTTTAAGTTTACCACGGTTCGATCTCCCCCCCCCCCCCACCCTTTACATCACACTACCCCCCCCCCCCTTTTACATCAGACTACACCCCTCCTTTACATCACACTACCCCCCCCCCCCTCTTTTACATCACACCCCCCCCCCCCCTTTACATCACACTACCCCCCTTTTACATCAGACTACACCCCTCCTTTACATCACACTACCCCCCCCCCTTTACATCACAACCCCCTCCCCCTTTACATCACACTACCCCCCCTTTACATCACACTACCCCCCCTCTTTACATCACACTACCCCCCTCCTTTACATCACACTACCCCCCCTTTTACATCACACTACCCCCCCCTTTACATCACAACCCCCTCCCCCTTTACATCACACTACCCCCCCTTTACATCACACTACCCCCCCTTTACATCACACTACCCCCCCCCTTTTACATCACACTACCCCCCCTTTACATCACACTACCGCCCCCCCCCCTTTTACATCACACTACCCCCCCCCCCTTTTACATCACACTACCGCCCCCCCCCCCCCTTTTACATCACACTACCCCCCCCCCCCTTTTACATCACACTACCCCCCCCCCCCCCTTTTACATCACACTACCGCCCCCCCCCCTTTTACATCACACTACCCCCCCCCCCTTTTACATCACACTACCCCCCCTTTACATCACACTACCCCCCCCCCCCCCACTTTACATCACACTACCCCCCCCCCCCCCCCCCCTCCTCCCCGACATGCTGACATTGCTGTCCTAAGCCAGACATGAGCTAACAAGGCCCACAACTCTCCTGTAATCACAGCGACATGGGTTGCTGTAATTAACTGGCGTGACAAGATTTTTTTCCCAGAGTTAATTCCCTTTGTTGTAGCGTGCAACAAACCAAAGGGACGTCACGCCAACAGCCGCAAGTGCCGCACGCGATGGCGAACAGTCCGAACAGCGTCTAAAAGGGAGGCAACTCATGTTTTAAAACCTGCAGTTTTTCGAGAGTTATCTTATCTTGCGATCTTTAAAATCGGCACAAGAAAAACAAATTTCCTGCCTTGAAGATAATTATTTTGAGAGAATTCGATTTCTGATCTTTTAATGTGAGCCTCTCACGACTTGTGTATTACTTCTGTTGTATATATAATTACGTCTGGTTAGAAAATCGATGGGACATACTATGCCAAATATACACACATACTCTCTCTCTCTCTCTTACACACACACACACACACACATATGATAGCGTATAACCAGATACTGTGAGTTAAAGAATCACACATCGCTGGCCAAACGTGTCATACATACATACACGGTGTTGATGTGTTTAACATACACGGTGTTGATGTGTTTAACATACACGGTGTTGATGTGTTCACGCGGTGTTTTGTTATAACCAAATAGTTCACAGAAATTATTACTTTGAAGCAGTGGCGTAGCGAGGTCGGGTGTTACCCGGTGCGGCACTTAATGGTGTCACCCCTTCAGAGGCGTAGCGACCCTTCCCGGGGACAAACTTTCAAATTTTCGATTCGCACCCCCCTCAAGGTTTTCTCTATATATTTTGCTATTTTTTGCCTTGGTGTCACCCCCTTAAATGGTGTCACCCGGTGCGGTCCGCACCCCCGCCCCCCCCCCTCGCTACGCCTCTGCTTTGAAGTGAGAATAGCAGATGTAGATCAGATATGAATGACCAACTCCAGCGGTGTAAATGCTATCATTTCTACTCCCACAAGACTTTTTTTTTTTCTCTTTTTGGCCTCAGACATGTAATTTACAGCGTCAGTTGTGTGTTCGCTTTAGTATTACAGTTTTCATCATCGGCTTGTGAGGACTGATACAGATTTCTACTCCCACAATACTATTTATTATTTTAAAAAATAATTAAAATCCGCTCGATAAATGCCAACTGATCTGTGAAAAATTATTTGAAGAAAGTGTTTACAAAAGGGATATCTAATAAGTCTAGTGGTTTTCTAGATAAACTTTAGATAATGATACTTACAATTTGTAACATATTAAGTAGAAATATTGTAGAATCAGTAATGACATAATTTTTTTAGGAAAAGTCATTAATTAAAAAATAACGACTTTCATTTTTTTCGTATCACTACTGAAATTGTTTGTATTTTATCTATTTATAAGAAAAATCAATAGGTTGTGTCCCTTTATCATTCTGTCAAACTGATTAAAATAATAAGAAATTATTACAATTCAATATTTTATTTTGTGTGTAAAACTCATTACACATTGTAATAATGCATTATTATATTGATTAAATATTGCATTTTTTTTAATATATAAATATATAGGCTTATGTACATATGTGTGTTAGTACGTGCGTGCGTGCGTGAGTGCGTGTATGTGGTGTGTATAGTCTAGATATTTGCTAACGTGTAAGTCCACCTGTACTGCACTAGAAAATACATAATTGCCTATGTAATTGTTTTCTATTTTTAACTTCACAACATCACGTGACATGGTTGTTCACAGAGGTACACAACTACCTTATCCCAGGTAAACACACCTGTCTTATCTAACCGTTCAATCTGAATAGAGAATTCCAGGTACGTTCTATCTATGTCATAGTATTGTTTTACCGAAACACTCGTGTCTTCGATTTTAACAATACATACAATATGGAAATATATATATATATATATGTATATATATATATATATATATATATATATATATATATATATATATATATATATATATACATACATACACACTTATATATATATATATATATATATAGTGTTTTTACTTTTTTATAATATAATAAGTAACTAATATATAAGAACATTCTGACCAAGTTTTGGTATCGAAGCACCCGTCACAAACGAATGGTCGCCAGGAGAGGTGGGATCCCCTGGGGTGGGGATTTAAATGGTGGTGTCGATAATTTGTTGAAACCTGACTTACAGGCGGATGGCGGATTTTCCAGCACTGATTATGTCATTAGGGGATGTCATTAGGGGATGTCATTAGGGGATGTCATTAGGGGATGTCATTAGGGGATGTCATTAGGGGATGTCATTAGGGGATGTCATTAGGGGATGTCATTAGGAGATGACGTCAGTCGATGACATTAATGACCGCACACATAGAAAAAGAGGGGAGAGCATCACCAGGTGTCTGGGGTGTTCTGTGACGTCATTGACGGTGGGGAGGGACGGGGGGGGGGGGGCTTTTAGCTGAGATCATTAATGAGAGTGTTTCAATTAACTTTATAAATTATAAACTTTATAAAAAATATTTTTTTGTTATCGTCTAGTGAAAAATGTGCAAATTTTATGTTGGAAGGATTTGTTAATAACTCTCATCAATCATGTATGACAATCATTTACGTCAATCATTTACGTCAATCATTAAGGTAATAGTTCATAAAAAAAAAACTAATTGATGTGTACTGTATGTTCTATAGCTTCATTGAAGTAACACTAGCTCACCCCCGGCTGTTGATACAGGCGTCACTTTACTGCGAGATCACATCATGTCACGTGATTTTATTGACATCACTTCTATATAATATCACGGTATGTCACGCGATTTAACAGACATAACTTCAATAGGTGATCACGTTTTATCACGTATTATTTTTCCACGTTTGTCAGTTAGCCAAAGCGAGAAGTTATACATTCAATACGTGCTGATGAATATGTTTTCATTTGGTTGCTAAAAATTGAATCAGGTGTGTCAATAATTATTATGTTAATCACTTTTGATCCGTGATTGCATTAAGTAATTACGCCTGCTGTACTATAACTATGACAGAAACTTTGTTATTTGTCGCTTTCTATAGATAACAACGGAAAAATATTCAGACCCACTTCACCTCTCCCCCCCCCCCCCCCTCAGACGTGTAAAGCCATTTATTTGACGTGACGAAGTTATCAACAAATCTTACCCTCAACCAGCTTTCCCAATGATGACAACAGCAATGTCAGACAGACAGCCACGTCCAACAGCATCTTGACAGTCAGACAGCAACTATGATTTTAGTCTGGGGATTATAAAAGTAAAAAATAAATAAATAAATGCAAATGTCTCGAAAAATCTGCTGAAAGTATAAAAAGTCAGGAATAAGATTTAGTGATGACTGGCATTGGACGTTACATGTGTTTTTTTTTTCTTTTTTCTTCATCTCTTTATTTCTTTCTATTCAGTTGTGAACTGTATAGGAAGAAATATTCTAGTTTGTTTAGTTAGTATAGTAGTTGGCTGAAGAATCGATAGACAAAATATGTTTGATATTCATTGTGAATGTTTAGTTCATATGCTCTTTATATTAGACTATTTCTCGAAGCTGTTTGTTTTGGACATGTTTTCCATTAGGACGATCTGACAAACACTTTTAAAATGAAATTTCAAACTTAAATATTTACTTCACATCCGTTAATTTACAGACAGTTTACATGTATTAATCGGTAGGTAATGTGTGTGTTGTGGTCATGTATTTCGTGAAGAGTTTTTATTATCAATTAACGATTTCACTAAAAATAATTAGATACATTGCGGTAACATCAAATGTTTAAACGTCTTTTTAAAATGTAAGGTCTCGCTTAACTCTTCAGTATAAAAACACTTGAGCTGCCGCCACATATTGACGAGTCCCATCAAAAATGTTTTCAAATCTATTCCAGAGATTACATTTTTGATTGTTTTCTCACCTTATATTACTGGTTTGTGATTAAAACGGTTTGTATTACATTTACAGAAATCGATGTAAATGAAAGATAACGCGCCGATGATGAACATCGTAACTCTATAGCCGGGAGACTCATGCTAACATTGCAAGTCAGATGTACACGCACAATGTGAACATAAAAACACAATAAATTACGCAGTCTGGGACTTTGTATCTTCCCTGCGATATTTTTATGTATGACTTTCTGTGAGTGTATAATATTATCTTCACTTGCAGTGTTTCTTCCAGACTTTTTTCTCCGGGGAAGGGGGGGGGGGGTTGGGGTTTGAAATTTCCGGGAGAAGGTGAATGAAATTTCCGGGGGGGGGGGGTCGGAAACTGGTAAAGGTATATATTTTTTTAATATAAAATCATTTGTTACACTCGCTTAGTCGAAAAATGCGATAGTGGATCATGAGCAACGCCCGACAAAAGTTTCGCATCATTTATAGGCCTGCTAAAAAAAATCGCGTCAGACATATAATTAATGAAAGCATCGCACGATAAATTAAAAAAAAAAAACATTTCTACCATAAATTAACACGATTCACAACTTCCTGATAAAAACTGAATAGAAGGTCAGCACTCGTCCATCATGAAATAAAAATAACATTAATTAATTACTTCCACATTGTGATTTATCTTTTACTTATACGACAATCCCCATCACAGTACATTACCGTGTCCCAAAATACAAACAAACAAATGACGCTTATATTCCAAACATGTGCCCGCCCTCCGGCCTTGACCTTTGAGTGCCCGTGTCTTTTATTCTGCCGTCATTAGAAATCCATCCAATTTGTCAAGACCGAATCCAAGGATATTAATTCTATATTCGGTTATGGCCCTTGCTATTGATTTGCGTGCGGTATTGTCTTCCCGTTCTGATCGCCTTAAATCCAGCACTGCATGCACGATCATGTTTGTCTGCTATAGAAATATTGTTCATTGATTTTATTTGCATGGAGGTGTTTACATTTCTCCGTAAGCTCATCGCTAAATAAGCCGAGAAATGTAAATATGAGCTTTGAAGAATAGATTATACACACACGCGCGCACACGCACACAGACAGACAGACAGACAGACGCACACACACACACACACACACACACACACATATATATATATATATATATATATATATATATATATATATATATATATATATATATATATATATATATATATATATATTTATATTTATATATATATATATATATATATTCTTCATTTATTGGCCTATTACCATCAATGTATAAAAATCCGGCATTCTATAGAATACGTAGGCTAGGTATAAAATCTCTGTCATTTTTAGGCAATGTATGAAATTTCAGAGTTGTTGACTTGTTGTATACTTTTACTAGGCATACATAACATACCTTGGCGTTGTGAAGAATGGCAAGAACAGCTCAGGCCAAGAGGGATAAGCCCAGATTGGAGAAGTCTTTAATAACAAAAAGTCAAAAAATAAAAGGAAGAAAAAATACAAAGTTAACAACAGGAAATCTTTAATGTGAAAACAAAGGAATCTGAAGTGTTATTACTTACTATTTCTTGCTAAACGGTAAGCTAGTATGGCATTCTAATTTGTACTTAATTTTCTTTCTAACCCTAACCCTATATCTAGCCTTAACCCTAAATCTAACCTTAACCCTAAATCTAACCTAATCCCTAAATCTAACCTAAACCCTAAACCCTAAATCTAACCTAAACCCTAAACCCTAAATCTAACATTAACCGTAAATCTAACCTAAATCCTAAATCTAACCTTAACCATAAAACTAACCTTTACCCTAAATCTAACCTTAACCCTAACCCTAAACCCTAACCATGTTATTGCCTACATCCTTTAGAATCTATTCCTCACCCCACTTTTGTACAGAAAGTTTTTGCTCGAATGTTCGACACGTCCCACAGTACAGCTAAACACTTCCCTGTCTTCTCGTTTTTTTTTTTCAACAAGCGCTTATTTTAAGTCAATTTCTCTCGAAAAAATGAAGCGGCTATTTTTGGTTAAGTGCATCTTTTTATGAAGCCTATAAGATTCTAAAAACTGACTTCCTATCAGCCGTCCTCTTGCCGGCATTTGTGAAGAGCTCTTGAAGGAACGAACCACTTTGGCTACGGCCTCAAGTTTTTTCTGAGAGTGGCTTTCATATCTCTCTTGTGCCGCGAAAACCGGGGACACGGAAAACACATTTCCGTATGAAACTTTGAGGTTGTCTGGCTCTATGTTCGCGGTCTAGCCAAAATTGTTCTGTCTTCATATGTGTGGTTAAATATCAGGGAGGTAATGCATTGTATTGCAGGTAAAGTAGAGTGTATGTCTTTGAGAAGTCGCAGATGAGCGATAGCAAGTGTGATGTAAAGCGGCCGTCATTATAAATTAGCGCGTGTCATTTCACAGATTTAGCTAAGCAGTGTAGAAAATAATTAGTAGGAGAGATTTTCAGAGAGGGAGACGTCGACTTGTACCTTTTTTTTTGGGGGGGGGGGGAGGGGGGGTCGGGGGAGTTATTGTAGGGACAGAGCACTGGTGTTTGAAGGAATATCCTATGGAGGCAAAGATTAGCGCTAGTGTTAGGTGAGGCGCAAAAAGTTGAAGCAAAATGAGAAGGGCGATTTTGATTCAATATAATTTCTTTCTTAACGATATTTCTAAATTGAGAGACAATAAAAACGTGTTAAACGTGTTCATTTGGATACCACTCAGTAAAAAAAAGAGAGATTTTAATTTTAGTAAAATTAGTAATATAAATAAGTTACTTCCCATATTAACATTTTAAAATATGTACGGGAAATAGCCTACAACTATTTCCGTAAAATAAAATGAAAAGAATTTAATGAATTTAATTAATAAAAATATTAACTTGCAATTCACAATATATAATTATCTTAATTATTTCTAAATTAAGTTGTTGCACAAAAATAAATTATTTTATATACTATTTTCCTTTTTAAAAATTGTAATTCGTCTCTAAAGTAAATAAAACAGCTGTTGTTTTATAAAATAAATTATTTTATAAGATGAAAAGCCTTTAAATATTCATTACTAAACAATTCAGTGAGGTTGTCGAACCGCTATGACTTCATATTAAATAAAAATGTTAGGATTGAAGTGCGATATTGCTTTATTGCTACATTTCCTTACCAAGTGCGCCTCTAATGATAAACAGTTATTTTATTCCGTGAAAGGATCATCCGTACTTTTGGTGTTGTTCAAATAAAGTTGTGTTTCTGTACACAAAAAATATAAATATTTAGAATTCTATTGTAAACTTGTTTCAACATGTAAAACTAATCATAGATTAAACCTCTAAGAAATAATTTGTAAAAAATTTAAGAGGTTTTATTTTTAAAATTTTTAACGACAAAAAAAAATTTAGAAATAAAAATTAGTTTTGCAATCTTTATGTTAAAAAATTTTTTTTTTTATTTAGTATGTTTATACATGTGTACCATCATATATTATGTAAATCATTTTTATTTTAATAATTATTTTTTTTTAAAATAGATATGGATTGTATCCCTTAAGTCTTTTGGTTGCTTTAAGGGAAGTAATAACCTTTATGCCAATTAAAAAAAAAATTGACGTCATATTTATACCTACATAAAAGTCGTCTTATTAAAGGTGGATACAAACCAATTTTTGCTTTCCAAATGTAATTTTCTATTTTCGTGTTGGAACGTCGACACACAATTAAGAGACCACACACATACAATAGCTTAAAATAGCAACGTTGTATTCCCGTTTAAAGTTTAATTGGCAAAATTTCAGTCTAAGTCAATATTCGACAAAAAAACAAAAACAAAATATAACAAACAACAAAACGTGTTCATCAAATTCTTTTAACGTGAACCAAAGGATGAGGTAATAGTAACAAACACAGGTTGTGGTTTAGTTACGAGGTTGTTGGCTGTTGTTGTCATATAAAACAGGCTTTGTTTAGGCTGTTGTAATTTGTGAGTTAAGGACCTACACATGAATGTTACACACACATAAATGTTACACACAGAAAAATGTTACACACAGAAAAATGTTACACACAGAAAAATGCTACACACACATACATGTTACCCACACATAAATGTTACACACACTTGAATGTTACACACTCATGAATGTTACACACACATGAATGTTACACACACATGAATGTTACACACACATGAATTTTACCCACATGAATGTTACACACACACTGAATGTTACACACACATGAATGTTACACACACATAAATGTTACACACACATGAATGTTACACACACACTGAATGTTACCCACACATAAATGTTACACACATATGAATGTTACACACACATGAATGTTACACACACATAAATGTTACACACACATGAATGTTACACACATATAAATGTTACACACACATAAATGTTACACACACATAAATGTTACACACACATGAATGTTACACACACTGAATGTTACCCACACATAAATGTTACACACACATGAATGTTACACACACATGAATGTTACACACATATAAATGTTACACACACATGAATGTTACACACACATGAATGTTACACACACATGAATGTTACACACACATAAATGTTACACACATATGAATGTTACACACACTGAATGTTACACACACATGAATGTTACACACACATGAATGTTACACACACATAAATGTTACACACATGAATGTTACACACACATGAATGTTACACACACATAAATGTTACACACACATAAATGTTACACACACATGAATGTTACCCTTGTGACCTGTGTGCTAAAGAATCACACATCGCAGGTAAATCGTGTCATACACAAATGGTGTTGATGTGTTTTAACGGTGTTTTGTTAGTCCTGCTAGAACTTTCTGTTCGAGTAATTTATTGTTTTTCTGAGAAAAACATGTTTTTCTACTAGAGTAAAAATATTATTGATGGATTATGAATATGTTACTGTTAAAATGGTATCAGCGTGCCACTATTAACTATACGTTACTCCAGTACAATGTAAATATTTAAGTGATAGTTTAAAACCGATAACGTAAACTTTTGTTATTGTCGCGGTGATTTTGTGTTGTTGTCGCCTTGACGTTGTGTTGTTGTCATAGTGGTGTTGTGTTGTTGTCGCGGTGACATGGTATTGTTGTCGTGGTGATGTTGCGTTGTTGTCGTGGTGATGTTGTGTTGTTGTCGTGGTGATGTTGTTGTCGTGTTGTTGTGTTGTTGTCGTGGTGATGTTGTGTTGTTGTCGCGGTGATGTTGTGTTGTTGTCGTGTTGTTGTGTTGTTGTCGTGGTGATGTTGTGTTGTTGTCGTGGTGATGTTGTGTTGTTGTCGTGATGTTGTGTTGTTGTCGTGGTGATGTTGTGTTGTTGTCGTGGTGATGTTGTGTTGTTGTCGTGATGTTGTGTTGTTGTCGTGGTGATGTTGTGTTGTTGTCGTGGTGATGTTGTGTTGTTGTCGTGGTGATGTTGTGTTGTTGTCGTGATGTTGTGTTGTTGTCGTGGTGATGTTGTGTTGTTGTCGTGGTGATGTTGTGTTGTTGTCGTGTTGTTGTGTTGTTGTCGTGGTGATGTTGTGTTGTCGTGTTGTTGTGTTGTTGTCGTGGTGATGTTGTGTTGTTGTCGCGGTGATGTTGTGTTGTTGTCGCGGTGATGTTGTGTTGTTGTCGTGTTGTTGTGTTGTTGTCGTGGTGATGTTGTGTTGTTGTTGTGGTGAGGTTGTGTTGTTGTTGTTGTGGTGATGTTGTGTTGTTGTCGCGATGATGTTGTGTTGTTGTCGTGGTGATGTTGTGTTGTTGTCGTGGTGATGTTGTGTTGTTGTCGTGGTGATGTTGTGTTGTTGTCGCGGTGATGTTGTGTTGTTGTCGGGTTGTGTTGTTGTCGTGGTGATGTTGTGTTGTTGTCGTGGTGATGTTGTGTTGTTGTCGTGTTGTTGTGTTGTTGTCGTGGTGATGTTGTGTTGTTGTCGTGGTGATGTTGTGTTGTTGTCGCGGTTAAATTGTGTTATTGTTGCGGTGGTGTTGTGTTGTTGTCGCGGTTAAATTGTGTTGTTGTTGCGGTGGTGTTGTGTTGTTGTCGCGGTGATGTTGTGGTGTTATTGCGGTGGTGTTGTGGTGTTATTGCGGTGGTGTTGTGTTGTTGTTACGGTTAAATTATGTTGTTGACGCGGGACGTTTTGTTGTTGTTGATAAACAAGTTGTTTATGCATGGACGCCCCATCACTTAGAGACAGGGGCGACAAACAGGGAAGGACGAGGTGTGGAGCATCTAGGGAACGATTGACCTTCGACCTTTGTCGGGAGAAGATGAGAATAAAAAAATGTTTGTGATTAAAAAATGTTTGACAAATTTGAAAATAAAAGCGTAAAAAAAACGCCATTAATTTTTTTGTATCGGTTTATGAAAGAAATTAACGACCCATTTTCTTTGGACGGCATGTCGTTATTTTGAATGGGGAGAAAAATATATTACAGCTTTTGTTTTTCCTTCGGTAAAACAGATATTGTGTTGGATTTTCTAACGAGACAGTTTATTTTAATTTTTAACGAGCTAGACCAAGAAAAAAAGATAATACAACTCTCGAGATATTTTAGATTTAATTGGAAAAGTTCTAGAACAGATCAATAATTGCAGGAATCCTAAGCAATAAGTATACAGCTGGTCTTCTAGTATCACAGTTATCTACTGGTCTTTGATTATCACAGTTATAATCTAAAAGGGTTGGGCATCAATAAATAATGACAGTAGCGCTTCTCTAACTAAAGAGTTAAAATAACCTTGCTGGTTTAATATAGAAAACATTTTCTTGAAGGGATAAACTTAAAGCACATTTATTCTACTTTAATTGGTTTCATTTTGAATGCATAAGCAAACTAAGAAATAGCCTACTTTGCCGGCACTTTTCATACACCTTAAAAAAATGCTTAAAGCCAAGTCATTATTTTGCTGTTAAAAATAAATACTTTAGAAACACGACTCTCTCAGATATCTGAAGTATGTTGTCACTTGTGTTGTTAGCAAATAAACATCGTCACGTGATCGCGATGACGTCAGTCCCCTGATAACGTGACCGCCCAGGTGCGGAAAGAAATATGTGCTGTCGGCAAATGTTTTCCGCATCACGGAATCATAAGAACCGCTGAAGGCTGAATGGGACGGATGCCATTAATATTTATCAGGAATATTTTATTAACGCTAGCGAGAAATCTCTTTCTCGTTATTGATAACGTGAAATAGCGATAAATAATTCAGACCTGCCGTGTAGCCTGCGTTTTAGTGATTTTTCTTTTTCGGTTTTAGAAATTTAGGTCCGGTTCAACATCAGACTATGAATTTCACACCATCAAGCGCACATGACTTAAAGAATATGGTACATTTTCGATTAGAATCATTTTACATGGCTAACATTTAAAGAAAGCCAGCTAAGACATGCATAGAGTACCGGCGATGTGGTTTCGTTAGTAAAGATATGTTCACGATTGTAAGTTCATCCTGGTCTTCGTAAGCAATTATCGGAAAACTTTATCTTTTACTTTGTTCCTAATTTAAACATTCTAGGGGATTTCCTCCAACACAATTAAAGTGTACGTATTAGCATGTTATGCGCCATGTTCGCCCGTTGAATCCAACCTCAGTCTGCTTTTTTCTGGATTTTTTTCAAAGCATTTGTACGCTTAAGATCAATAATCAAGCAGTAGTCATACAATTTATTTTTATTTTCGGAGATTAAGATCCAAAATAGGTTGATGTCCCCAGCTAACAAGCTTCATTTGCCCGGGATCCGAACTCTAGACTTGTGTGGTTTGCTATAGTATCCATGCACTCTGCTTTTCCACCATGCTGATCCCAGGATTAAACAGGATTAAACAAGAATAGTGCAATACTTAACAGTAATATCCTAATCGGTTTAAAGTTTGAGACTCTGGTTGGTCTACTGAATCAGTCCTTGCTAGTATTGCTACACCAATACTAATGATAGCTCCAGCTGTTTACGGTTAGAGTTAGGGTAGTATATGAAACTTGGTTACATCCCTTAGAAATGTGACAGTTTGTATGACGTATGACTGTGCAGTCAGGCAGTAAAAACCAAACTTCGACACGTCTGCACCAACAAATCGATCCCAGAATTCAGTTGGTCTCGCCAAAAAAAATTATGCGCGGGTTCCGGTCGTAAATATCTCGAGAACTTGTTCAATTAATAATCGATGCTTTTATAATGGGTTTGGCAGAAATACAGAGAAACTA